TTTGGCTTATGCTATCAGAATATTAGTAGAAGCAATTTACTCATATATGATGCAAAACTTACACCAATGATATCAAAGTTTGAGTGGACATAAAATGTATAAATATACATTTATACATAGTCTGTTTATGTTGTTATGATGATTAATTCATTAAGCTAAAAATTTTTTGCAAATATTATTCTCATATCATTATTTATCACGTAAAACTGTAAATTGTCAGATTATATCATTCCTTATGTTTATAAGCAAACGTCATATTATCTAAAACTAAAAAAAAAAATATATCAACCATTTTACATCCATGATTTCTGTGAAGGGTAAATCTAAGTTAATAACTTTATTCAATTTTATTTAATTAACGAAGTAGCTTTATATTTTATCAGTATGATTCCTTAGAAGTATTTATTGGATCTAGTAAAATTAAAAGTTCAAGAATCCAACAAATTCTTTGCTTCCCTGAAAATTGATAAAAGTTTTTGTGCCATTAATTTTAGCTATCTTAATTCTATAATGATGAGGCAATAAAATTATAATACCTGTCCGTAAATATCTATTATAAATCGAGCTTTCGAGACTGTTAGCTACAATCCTCTTTGTAGAGCGTCGTTTCTGTTGTACGAAATACTAATAGTCCGGTAGCTATTAAGATATTACCTATTATAAAATACAGATTTACAAACAATAATATATACTATAAATGTGACTAAATCCAAGAAACTTGTGTATACAACATGTGATAAGTCGACATTTGTGCCGAGTATGTCACTATGTCACGCCACTGGGCGTGAATATGATAGTGTCAACACTACAAAACCAAAGCTATCTGGTAATAATTGGTGCCTAATCTCTTTCTGAGGCTTCATGTTTAGACTTTGTGGTCGCGTATTATTCGCATTAATTTATCGTACAAAGTTATGGTAAAGGGTTCTCTTATTTATTATTTTAATATAAATTTATCAAAGATTTGTCTTTGTTATTTACGTTTTATGGTATTTTTAAATGTTTTAGTGTATAGGAGTGACGGTGTATAAACATATCTTGTAAGATACTACCTAATGCGAAATTTGAATGTAACAGTATAATGTTTATGAAAGTATTTGAGACAAATAGAACATTACCTCATATTTATTAGGGGTTTGTTAACTACTCTTGTAGAGTATTGTAAATAAAACATATTAATTTGTAAATATAGCTTTGCTGTTATTAATTAATGTTGTTTAGAATAATGTTATACTTTTCCCTTAAAATGAATACCAAAAGGCATTATTAGAGCTTGTCGGTTACCAATAGCATTCAAAGTGGGTAATGGAAGCCATATTCTTTTAATGTATTATTTAATTATGGTGGGCAAACAGAATAAAAAGCTTACTATTAAAAAGCTGCTTCCTCTTTCTCTTACTGACTGTAAAAGTCAGACGAGTGTTGCGAGGAAAATAATAAGAATTAATCTGTTGCAACAATTTATTTTGAAATTTTTTATGTAGACAATAAATACAACTGACACATTCTCTTTTTTATTTTTTGGAGGAGAGCATCATTAACTATTTTGAAACGCTGTCGGATTAGTAGTATCCAAGTTTTCATTCCTATTTTACTCAACTATCAAATTATGGATCTAACTTTTAATGTAAATTAGATAATATATTGACGGTAAAGATCATAATTGCTTTCCAAGAACGAATGGGTAAGCATAGTATTGCATTGTTTTCACTATAGATATTCCCCATTATGTGGGCAGCCGTCGAGTTCATACAGTTCTTGGCAATAATTGACTTAATAGTAATTGTCTTAACACTATATTTACTACAATAATTACATAGGAAAGGAAAAATACCTGGCATTCAAATTTATTTTAAATATTTCTAAATGCCATTTATATACATTGTGAAATATACCGGAAGATAATAGTTAAATAAATATGGATGATTTTTTACTTCCAAAATGAAAGTTTAAAAAATTGTTTTGACGCGATTTATTTAAACTAAACATAATGGGACTGCGGCTGACGTGTAATGAATCGTTTATATGTGACGTGTGCGAGCATAGCATTTGAGTACAATACTCCAGTCCCTTACATATGTTCGTATGAGAAAGGTCTAAACATACAGAAGGTGATCAACCCGCATCGGGCGACCGGAGATCTTGTAGCGTCCTATCGCTTCTCGTCTACCCAAACCATTTTAATCGCAATTTTTTAAAGTAAACAAGCTACTTATCACAGTAGGGTGACCGTCGAGCACACAGCCCATTGTAAAACACAGCAGCATTGCTATCTTACGCTCGTATTCTGTTTGAGTGTGGTCGTTTATTGGCCGAGCCGACACATTCTGCTATGCATGTGCCTAACATTAGAGCCTATCAAAAGTGCACTACTGAACATAGGCCACCCCTTAGATTGCCTCATAGGCATTTGTTATAGCTACCACGCTTGGTAGGCGACTTGGCAACCGCAGTTTTTATTTTTGTTATTAGAAAGACGCTGCTACCCAATATCTCTAGTTTGTTTCCCCACTGTCGCCACTTAAGACACCCACCGTACGATATGTAGTTGTGGATATTCCTACACCGCCACTATACGGGGTGTAAGACGCGACTCTACCACGCTTATACAATGTCACATTTTATGATAAAGTATAATATACTTTTATAGAAATAATGTTATATCGAAATTGCGCAATTTAATGTAATAGATAAAGGCTGTGGTTCAGTTAATAAAATTCCACATTTTTGTCTACTTTAGAGGTACTGAAATTGATATTAAATATAATTTTAGATACATTTATGCAACTAGGAGCTTTTAAAGCAATAATAAGCTATATTACTTTTGTAATGTCTAAAATAGGACAGTAACTTGTATATGCATTAAGTGTAATGGTAAGGATATTTCAAATGGGACTTGAACTGCTAGTGTCCGCCAAATAGTGATTCAAAAAACTACTGGAGCATCGCTGCAAGCTTAATGTAGTACGTCAGTAGAAGGACAGTTAATAACAGATAATTAACTTCTACAGTAATCAAAGATGAGTTAAGATAACCAGAAAATATTAAATTCACTTTAAAAGTTTTTATTTAAGGGTTTGAAATTCTTATTTAAGAATTGAACTTTTGGAATACCTATATCTTTTCTCAATATTCAATACTTCTATGTAAACATTAATATTAAAATAAATATGACAAATCAGTAATATACTGTTAGTGAATATTATGTAATATTATGTAATTAATAAATGTTTTTAATTCCAAGTATTTTGTAATTTATAAGAGATGTTTTAGGAAAATGTAATATTGGAGCTTCTTTTTGGTAAGATTTATCAGCAGTTGCTTCATTTTATGATCTCCAATTTTAAATTTACGTGGTCTACCGTATTATACAAAAACCGCTTTATTACAAAGGGTGGATTATTTGACAGTTTCGGACAAAGGAGAGTCATTGTTACGAACGAAATCACTTAGCTGCGGCGCCTCTGGCTTCGCATTTTGGTTCGCATTTTTTCTTCACGGGATTTCTTTCTTGAAACAGACTAGTTTAGCCTGAATCTAACTATAAACTACTTCTTGTAATAAGACGGTACAAGTTTTATTTACTCAATGTTATACCGTAATATCGGCTTTAAAAATATTTCTCTTCTAATTTGAATATATACCAAAATATGACGAAGTTGTACTGGTAATCAAAACTATATTTGTATTTGTTGATTCTTTACTTTAAAAGTACTGTCCTACCTTTTGATATACTTTTAAAAATAATTTTTAATAAAAAGGAAAGAATCTCAAATAAAAGTGATTGCAGTTGAGTTTCAGTACATCATATAGCAACACAGGCCACCGGCGGACCGGAGGTGAGTAGCCTATATATGCAGGCGTTCGACTCTGTCAAAGTACCTACAAGTCCACGCGGTCCTGCTGCCATGCTTACAATAAAACTAAATGCAGCCGCACTGCGTGCTCACTAAACTAAATCTAGTTGCGCGGTTGAATCGACGTCCTACAAGAACGCCGAATTGTTCAATTTTTTGCTGCAAAAAGAGATCTGCCACTTCAAATTTACAAAATAGATGCCGTTATCTTTCATATATAAGTAATTTTCAATCATGTCATTACTATTTACTTCTTTTTAATATTAATAATTACAATAATAACGGCCATGTTGTTACGGATTTGTTTATCAACACAGGCCGTTTGCTCTCATACAATATGCATATCGGTCTGATGCAAGGCTGTATTCGAGTTGTCGCTGTAACCGAGTGATGTGTATCTATGTGTGTGTGAAATTATTAGCAAATTGTTTCAATTGTTATGTGTGAGTTTCGTAGTGACAGACGATTGTTTTTGTGTGTGAAGTTTTCCCCCGTAAAAATGGCAGACAGTTCTGTATAAAGGAAAAAAACGCTATGGCTACTCCTCTCGGGTCCGTCGGTGTTGCCTTATGATCATAGTATTTGATTTACATAAATATATAATATATAAAAGTTTACTTAACTATAGGAGTAAATATAATTTACTAATAAAAAATATGTCCACTAAATCCTAATATGTGTAGTGTAACAGTGTGACCATATGGAAATAGTGAAGTAAAAACGTTTAAGAAATAGAATGTAAAAATTTAAAAATATGTAGTATATTCAGAGGCCAATGAATGTATATAACACGGATTAATGTAAATCCTTTATAATATGGTAAATCCTTTTATAAATTTTAAAAATTCGCCATTTTGCATATTTTGCATTTTTATTATTTTATTTTGTAACATACCATAATTACCTTAGCATTATTCCTTTCATTATTTTGCCATTATTTGCATGTTAATAAAAATAATACTTATGAATGTGTCTAATGTATAAATTATAAATGCATCGGCGTATATGTACGTAACTGATAAAAGTACAATTTCACTGTAAATTTATTGTTATTTTTTATTATGTTATGTATGCAAATAGTGTTAAGCGATTTCAGGGGAATAAAAGTATTGAAACAAGAGTGTTTTTCATTGAATTAATATATTATTTTGGTTTGTTTGTGTTTGGTTTGGGCATGTCTTCCATGGCGGCTGGGAGGGGCCTTGAACGAAACCAATTATGTCTTAGCGCCTGAAATTTAGAATAGGCTTTAATTTTGAACAGAATCTATTTTTGATTTAGTATTTCGATACGTTTGGATTGAATTCCATTTTTATTACAGCCTATAAAAGTCCACTGCTGAACATAGGACTCTCCCATTGATTGACTCAGGGGGGATTTGCCATAGTTGCCACGCTTAGCTGACGGGTTAACGACCGCAGTTTTTTTTATTATTTTGAGTTGTTATTAGGAAAATACTGCTTCCCATCTTCTGCTTCATTTCCCTCTGTCGCCGCTTACGACACCCACGGGATGATATAAGGTAGGGAATATTCTAACACTGCCACTACATGGCTAATTGTATTAGGATCATACGGATTTAATCGTTGCACTCATTCACTAATTATAGCTAATCAAAGTCCACTGCTGAACATAGGCCTCCTCCATCGATTGCGTCATAGCCTCAAAAATATCCCCAATATTTGCCGCAGTTGTCACCATACCTGGCGGACGAGTTGGCAACCGCAGATTTTTATAATTCTCTTATCAGGAAGATGCTGATGTCCAATTCCTGTATCAGTGTTTCTCTGTCGCCACTTTCGACACCCACGGGATAAACCACAACACTTTTTTTTAAAGAAACACCTATTTCGTTTCATGCATCACACGGAACGGAACAGCCTTTGTAAAGCAACTGCTGCTGGACATAGACCTTTCCAAAAATACGCCAGTTGGTTTGAATTACATGAAAGCATTGCTCATATTCACTATGCTGGGCAGGCGTTTTGTAAAAGGCGATATCCTTGCATTCCGCTTTGTTGTGGCGGGGGGAGGGGGGGGGGCTGAGCTTTGTACTGGTCCCGTCACGTAAAAAGAACGCTGCGCGACTGTGGAGGGGGTGTGTCTGCGCATGGGTACAGTCGCGTTCTAAAGTACTACATGGTACTCGGCTATTGTTTTATAATATAATAGTAATTAATTGTTTTATTGTAGAATTATAATAGGTACTTTCCTAGCTACTTAGAACTTTGGAAGAGGTTGGAATTAAAAATGGATAATGTTTACTTGAGCATTCTTTTTTATTTCTGTCTAAGGCCGGCCACATACATACGGAATTCCGTTTCATGATTCCATTTCGGAATCCCGAATCGGGATTCCGTTAATACAGCACACACACACGTTTTTTTCCGTTCGGAATAACAAGGGTCAGTTGAGAGACGTTAGCCATTGAGTCTAGACATTCTGCCAGCGAATACTGATTACCATTTTCTGGTTGCGATTCCATTGTTCTTACTAGGTGCATCCCCTTATCACCCTAAGCTTGCAATATAGTCAATACTATGTAAAAAGATCTATCTATCCAGATATATTTTTTAAATATTTATGTATGTAAATTCTTTCGACGAATTATTAAATAAAATAAGATGAAAGGTTACGAAAAGCTATACACCTACAAGATTAAATGTAAAAACATACATAAACACACCTACTCGCTTCGATCTTGCGACGAACACTGAGCGCGTTCCGTACGGAATTTACGTATGTGTATTGCGACTCGTATAAAATCTATGGAAGACGTGCGTACGGAGCGGCTTTTTTCCGTTCGGGATCCCGAACGCACAGGCGGTCATACGGAATCTCGAATCGGAGAAATTCCGTACGGAAAAATAACGTACGTGTGTGGCGGGTCATAGATTTTATATGGACTTGCTGCGTTCGGAATCCCGTATCGGAATATCGAAACGGAATCCCGAAACGGAATTCCGTATGTATGTGGCCGGCCTTAAACTATAAAGTAGTTTGTAACAAGAAAACTTAAGCTAAGGGTGAGACGCTGTCCATTATATCGTCTTGGGTTACATGGAAGCCAGATTTAGATGGTGTGTTGGTGTTACTGGATGCTACTTCATCATCACTTTCATCTTCGCTTGAGCTTCCGTCATCAGAATCATCATCATCAATGCGAATGATAAATGTTTCCGTCATCAGGTAAACCACATGGTAATTTTTACGGTATTCTTTCTCAATACTTTTAACTTTACTGCACAATTTTCCCAGCATTACCCCATCGCGCCCCCTTCGTACCACCATTTTGATCGATCAATCGCTCAGTGCGCAGGTACAAGGCCAGGGTTCTTTTTACGTGACGGGACCTATAGGCGTGGTTTGGTCACCCGAAGTGAACAAAGAGGAACCCTAAGTGGCTGGCTCGAGGTGTAGGGCCGGCCCGAGATAACCACTCCGAGTGCCCGCTTCCAATGTGTGCTGGTGGACTGCGGTGAGAGGGGTGTCCCCTCCCCCTTCCCCTGCAGCCGAGGTGGAGTCGCGGAGGAAGAGGAGTGTTGGTATGGCGATGCGCCACTTGCCCTATCCTCCACGACTCTGACGGGACAGCACTGTTGATGCGGTGGTGGTGGAGCCGCGGGGGAGAGGAGTGTCGGTATTGCCGCTCTCCCTACCCTCCGCAGCCGAATGTTGGTTGGTGGCGAAGCCATACACCAGATCCGCCGCTGAGGTTAGAAAGCTTGTACTTTTGAGTGCTCGTTTTTCCAGGACCCATGTCCTTCGCGCATCGGACATAGGGACTTCCGTTGCGCAGGTTGGGGCCGCGGAGGAAGGCGTGTCATGTATTCTGGTGCGCCTTACCAGAAAAACGGAGATGGGGGAGGAGTATTTCTTCCCCGAGGAGGGGTCACCATGGGGCAGCTGGCGCCATGTGTGCGAAAGCGTCGGTAAGTAAGTAGTTGGTGCGAGTCCGACATAACCCGTCCTTGTCCCCGCGAGGCGGATATACGTAGGCATTTTCCCATGTAAAACAAAAAAAAATATCCTTGCACTGGTAAAGCTCCTTCACGTGTTAGTGAAATTTAGGTTAAGCTTTTATGAGTGGAATATCTAACTGCCATCAGTCGGTCGGCAGTCTCACATTCTAATAGGGTGCACCACGTGCAGGTAAAATTGACGTGATAGAGCCATGCTGCAGCTATATTATGATTGCAGCACGAACAACTCGACCAGAAAAGGACCACGCTCTCACAGAATACCAGCGGTTTAAACGTTAAAAATATTGCCTTATATTAATACATTACCTCTTTAGCTGATATTCTTTTATTAGCATTGTAAAGCACAAAAGACTTGATCAGGTCTAAAGCTTCTGGTTCTACGCCCGGTAGGAGATCAGGCCATGGCGTTGGAGTTGATTCTGGGAATGTAATTTTGTGATAGTCCGGCAACTCTGAATGACCTGGCCAGGTTTCTTCTGTTGGGGTTCCTAGGTGTTGAAGTACTATCGCCAGTTGTTCTATGTCCGATTCTCCCTGTTTTTAGAATATATTCATTTAGGTATTAATATTTTAGTTGCTAAGTGAAATCAGTCGCATGGAGCTCGCCTAAAATTGCTTAATGTGAACGACCAAGCAATAAGTGTGAATGGACTTACAATGTCCTTGGAGCAAATTGGAGAATGCGACCATGGCGACCTTTACAAGGTCTATACAATCTCAAAACTTAAAGATGTCTCGTGTCTAATAAAAAAAAAACGTTGATAGGCTGGCACTTTTTTTATATAAAAAGGGTGACAAACGTGCGCACAGTCCACCTGATCCATACACACATACCCTGAGGACTGAGATGGAATGACTCGTTACAAGTAAAAAGGGTATCCGGTTCTCCATACTTACTATCCGAAACACAGCAGCAGTAATAAGCTGTTATTTAATTTTTACTTAAGTAACCCAGAAAAATTGAAAATGCTCACAGTTAAGTAACTTATTCAGTTAATAAGTAGTGAAGACAGTAGTACTTAGCAGTAAAATGTATCCGTAGCAGAATTCACAATAGATCATACTGGTTGCAGTTAGGCTGGTCTTGCAGACCTGCTAAACCTTGCTAGGTCTGCATTGATATGCAGGTGGCACAAAGCTTGCACAAAAAACTGCTATTTTACGCTGGTATTCTGCGAAAACGTGGTCTTTCTCCGGTCGGGCCGAACCATTACTGCTACAACTATAATATACCTGCAGCGTGGCTCTAGCACGTTAAATTATCACATTTTCAATTAAAAATTATGTGTATTTTTTGTAATTTACCGCAAAAAGTGGATGTTTGGTAATCATCTCTGCGATTATGCAGCCGACTGACCATAAATCTATTTTCTCACTATAAAATCTTGCTCCATACAGGAGTTCCGGAGCGCGATACCACCTGGAAATTAAATATGTAAAAATTACACCAATGCCACCTTTTCATAGAAATACGGATGACAAATTATCACCAAACACACCTCCTGATAGTGGGTAAGTGAATGATGGTTTAGTCCATAGACACGTATGTCTATCCCCGATGAAGAGTCAAAATTTAGAGGCGTTGTTACATACCTAGGTATATATTAGTATTTTTTAATTAATTTATAAGTTAGCTTTCAGACTTAATAATATCATACAGGCCGAATTTCGGTCACGGCGACCATTCTCAGCGGAAAAATAGCCATCAGCGTAGGATTATATTACATAAGTGCTTGCGCAAGTACAGGTGCATTCTACTCTCTTATAGTCCAATAAGACGGCAACAATCCGATACGACTGGCGAGAGATCGGGCGCAGGTCAACGGCTTAGTGCTTTCCGAGGCACGGGGGTGAAACATCGCCAACTTTCTTACTCCGGGCTGCTAACTGAGAACTTTTGATAGAAAAAACTAATTACTGATTTGGACCAATCTGGGATCCGAATCCGAGACAACATTTTCAGCAGTCGCGTTTACGTTTACTAGACCAATGAGGTAGCCTATCACTTCAGGAGTAGGTGATAAGGGTGCATTACCCGTGCGGGAGTATCTGCTCTTGACTCACCGACACCGCAGAGTGGAAATTTCAAAAAAAAAACCTAAATCTATCTAGGTATATCTTGGACATAGATAATAATTTTCTCGGTTCTATGTTAAAAAAGAGCTAGTATTTAATAAAATCTGTAAAGAAAAATGAAACATACCTAGTAGCAACTTGATGTGAGTAAGGTCTACCTCCATCGGGCCAGTAAAGGCGTGCCAGACCTAGGTCAGCTACCTTCAGTGTTCCTTCGTAATTTATGAGCAAGTTTGCTGGTTTTAAATCCTTTGGGAGAAGATCTTAGTTAAACTTTTAATTTATCGAAACATACGAAAATATTACAAATTATGTAAATTAAAAAAGTATTATGGTCCGAAGACATGAAGCCAAGAAGAATAAACCAAACAGATTTGCGTATTTATTCGTACTCTCGGAATAATATTCCAACCGTGCTGGAGAGTATCATGTCATTAGTCCATGAGTCCAGAGCTAACACAAAGACACTCTCATATCCTTGTGAACCCGTGCCAGATGTAACGGAGAGTTTTTATTCAGTTTCAGTGTCACGAGGCCAATGACAAAACCACTAGACCTGAAAACGAATAAATTGTAACCTACTCTCACCGACTACTAGGTCACGTGGTATATCATCACCATCATCATTCATCATTACAGCCCTTCACAAGTCCACTGCTTAACATAGACCTCCCCCAAGGAACGCCACAAAGCACGGTCCCGAGCCACCTGCATCCATCGACTTCCTGCATGTCTTACCAGGTCGTCACTCAATCTAGTGGGGGACGCCCTACACTTCGCCTGCCGGTACGAGGCTGCTACTCGAGAACGTTTCTTCCCCATCGGTTGTCGGTTCTTCTAGCTATATGGCCGGCCCATTGCCACTTCAGCTTACTAATCCGTTGGGCTATGTCGGTTACTCTGGTTCTACAGCGGATATCCACGTTTTTAAGTCTATCACGCATAAAAACCCCGAGCATATCCCTCTCCATAGCTCGCTGAGCGAATTTGAGTTTCCTCATACGGCCAGCAGTGAAGGACCACGTCTCAGACCCATAGGTCATCACTGGGAACACGCACTGGTTGTACCTACAATCTAATTTTGTGAAATGTCGTAATTTCCCGAACGCTGCCCAGCCGAGTTGAATCCGTCGATTGACCTCTCGGTCGGAGTTGGACTTACCTAGTCGGACTATTTGTCCCAGGTAACGTACGTGGTACGTGTGGCAGGTACGTGGTATATATAGTAATCAAACTGTAACTACTAACAAAAAAGGTTACACGAATTAATACTTTTTTAAATCGATAATTGGATATATTAAATACTAGCGACTCGCCCCGGCTTCACCTGGATATAATCTATTAATTTGTCGTTAGATAATCAAAGACAAGATATTTCAGGAAAAGATGTCATTTTTATTCAAAAAAAGAAATCTTATATTTTTCGGATAAAATATAACCTCTATCCCTATTGGTATTGCTGTCTATCTGTTCGTAAAGTTTCATCACAATAAGTTTCAACCATTTTGAAGAATAGCCCGGACACAGACAGACTGACAAAATTTTAAAAATTGTTATTTATGTCTTATTAGTATGCAAATACCCCCTGAGCTTTAGAAGCCGGTTATTTTAATATTACAGACAGACACTTCAATTTTGTACGTATAGATAAAATGAATCAACTAAATATAATTTTTGCAATTTTAGTGTCTTTATGCAGGTTCAAACTACTAATTGAATGTTTTTAGGGTTGGGTTCACAAACACACTTAATAATAACTGAATAGGAAGCATGCTTAATGTACCTACTATGCAGCTCGTCTGCTCTGTAGAGTGAACCAATATATTGTGGAAGAGGTGATCATTAGGGGGTTTAATTTTTAAAATTAAACACATTCTCAAAATAAAGCAAACAGGTAACTGGAATATGAAACATTTGGAATTTTAGACATGAAGGATTAAAATATTTGAAATCTCTGATTCGGATGTATGAACGCGTTTTAAATATCGGCGGCGAGGTAAGATAATCCGATCACCCTATAAAGTCGCGTGGGTGTCGTAAAAGGCGACAATAAGAAATGACAGTAAAAATGTTATGACTCTCTGTACATAGTGTTTAACCATTTAGTTTACGTCCGGCGTAAAATCCCAGACCGACAACGGGCAGCAGCTTTAAAGGTTCGAGACGTCTGGCACTGCGATCGGCTATCAACCTACCAAGACTACATAATATAAAGGCAAATTTTTCCTACAACGGAATAGGCCCATGCCCAGCAGTACATTTTTACGGACAAAAAAAGATAATAACATAACAATAAAGAAAATTAGCATTCAGAAGCGATAAGATTAAGTAAGAACAAAATTTACTACGCATTTTGGTGGTTTTGTGTTTTTGGAGATGGACATTACAGCTTATAAAATAGTTTTGGTATTTAGCATGTCAAGGATATGCAGATTGTGATCATATCCTAGACGGCCCTCGCCATTACATTAGATTTGATAAACTACAAATTCTCGCGAAAGAACATCGATTTCTACAAAGGATGATACGTGAGGCTATTGAAATTAAAAAACATACTAATTTCAATAGAGAGGGAGGTTGGGTACTACCGCCTGCTTGGGATCCTGTAATTCATAAAATTAAAACTAAACCCAAGCATACCACTGCAAGACTTCAAGACACAGTAAGTCCATTCTGCGTAGATCGGACCAAAATTAATAATTAAAAAAGCTGAAGGTACTCCGGGTTAACTCTGACATCGGAACGTCAATCACCTCAGCCCCCCGTGACCATGGTTGCTGGAAAGCAACCGAAACGTCGGGAATTTAAAATAAGTTAATTAAACGCGATAAAATCCGTAAAAGTAGTTTTATTCAATGTGTAGTGTTCGCGTAAATATAAGAAATGATTAGATATGCAGATTCGTGAAAATTGTACACAATCTATTCGAATAGTCATTTTACGGTGATATTTGTGCTGTTAGCCAGGAGGCTTTTACAGTTACAGCTAGTTTTCGGCTGCGGGCTATAGAATAAAAAGGGGGACTGATAATGATGTTGATGACGTTGCAACAAATGATGATGATGATCAAAATGCAAATGCGTTGTTACCCATGAGAACTAAGATGTAATTCCTCGTTTCTAGGAACAAGGTTCTCCGATTCTCTACACTCAACATACGAAACACAGCAGCATTAAGCTGCTATTTTACGCTGGTATTGTGTGAGGGCATGGTCCATCCCCGGTTGAGCCGATCCATTTGTCCTACAAGCCTACAATCATGAGCATGGCTTTACTACGTATAAAAATTTTGAATCGGACCGCGATGAATACGGATTTTGTATGCTCTGGCTATAAATTAAATTGGTTGCACATGTAATGCCACTCCTAACTCGAATATTAGCCGCTTGCACACAATATAAAGTTTTTACCACTGAATTGATTTCTCAAATAATAGGTCTCTTAAAAGGAAATGTAATCAAGCAAGCAAACGAAGACAGTATTAAGTATTTCTGATGTGGACGGTAGGTCTACTTAAGAAATGCTTCAAATATGTGTTTATAGTTTGTATAGGCATTTGAAAAAGTTTTTCAAAGATATAATAACAAAATTTTAACCTGTAGAATTTTTATATTTGAGTAATCATGTTTTTCAATTCTCACTATTATTTTAGTTAGATACCTTTCTTTATATTTAATCATGAATCATGATGTACACGAATGTCGCGGCGTAGGTTTAAACATGAACGATTGCGCAAACATTATTGTGTTGTCATTGTTTGCAGTGTGCTACTTTTAATACTTCATTAATTATAAACGCACCATAAGCAGCAAATATACTTTATTTTGCAGTTTAGTTAGTTTTAAAAACATCGTTTATAATTCTCATGTTGTACCTTTAACTAAGAGCGTATAATAAATAATTACGTTGCAATATATACTAAAGTCATGTAGGAACCACGACTACGTAGTCAATTCCTAGACCAAAGAACGAATTCAAAAGGTTGTAAGCTGTTTATAAGTCAAGAAAAAGATTATTATCATTGTCGTAAGTGTAATTCAACACGAGGACCGTATGTAGAGCTTCATATCCGTCCACAAAGCAGGACCTTATACAAATACTCTGTAATATAAATTAATAAAAAAAATACTCGGCGGCTCCGTGGCGCAGTGGCTTAGTAATGAGTTACAACGCTAAGGGCCGCGGGTTCGAATACCGCACGGAACAAGTATTTGTGTGGCCTACAAATAATTGTACCGGATCTGGATATTTGTCCTTGTAAAACTTATGTATGTAAACTGCCCCCACGATAGTGTGGAGGTAACGTTTTAAAAAAAAAGAGAAAGAAAAAAATATGTATGTAAGTATTCGTTTTCTGTGGTACGCTTTGATAGTCTTAGCTACTCGTATTTTGTTGGTGATAGTGAGGCTCATTACTAAATTACTAATGCGAAGTTATTAACACTGCACCTATTACCCTCCCGCATAACCTGGTGACAAACGAACTCACAGTCTACCCGATGGTAAGTTGATACTGCAGACCACTGTGTTGTCACTTTTAAGGACTGAGATGGAATGCTTCACAACGTGTAACCATACTGGCTCTTCGTACCGGCACACGGCAGTGCACACACTAAGGCCCGTATTAATAAACGTTACTCAACAACGAACTCAAGTGCGTAATCATTTGATACGGCCTCATTACGATATCAGCATCTCGAGATCGTTGCTAATTATTTATTAATTAACACATAAAACAGTATCTCAAAACACTGTACTTAGGAATACTCTTCTGTGACTTACACTCAAGTACTTGAGACCTTGAGAGTCGACTTTCGTTTATTAATCAGTGTGGCACTTAGCCGATATCGTAAACCTAAACCGCATCTTGAGATATGTTTATCAATAGGATCATAACCTCAATATTGTACTCAAGTGCGTGTACTTGAGCTGAGTAACGTTTATTAATACAGGCCTAATATTTGGCGGCAGAAATAGGTAGAACGGTGGTAACTACCTAGACGTACTCGTAAACAGAAAAGGAGTCCCATGTATACAGCTGTACCTAGTTAAATAATAAATAATAACATGCTTTTTATAGCAGTTTTTAAGATGTGTATTTATATAATTTAAAATTTATATTTAAAATTATTTTTTACGTGGTAGAGCCATGCTGCAGCTATATTAGTAGTATAGTTGTAGCACGAATGCGTCGGCTCGACCGGGGAGGACCACGCTCTCACAGAATACCAGCGTAAGATAGCAGCTTAACACTGCTGTGTTTCGTATGGTGAGTGTAGAGAACCGGAGACCCTTTTTACTAGAAAAGAGGCATTCCATCTTAGTCCTCACGGGTGACAACGCAACTGCATTTTGATCCTTTATTGAGGATAGATGTGGATGTCTATAGGTCACAGCAACCACTTACCATCATGTGGACTGTGTGCTCGTTTGTCGCCAAATACTATAAAAAAAATTTAAATTTTTGTATAATCAATATAACCTCTTGGACTTCAATATAAATTAATAAGAATAACTCAGAAACTATTGGTCAGACCTTGATCAAATTTATATGGGACCACATGTGAAGCACCAGCTTTCAAATAAAAAAAAGTTATAACACACATAAAAAAAACATACATTCGAATTGAGTACCGGCTCCTTTTTGAAGTCGGTAGAAAATATATCACATCTAAAAACTTTAGATAAATTGAGAGAAAAGTGACGAACTCTATCAAAAATATTCATAAAAGACGAGACGATAGCACACCTACTCGTATATAATGGATTTATTTTCACTAACTCTATTACCGAAATTAAAGAGAGGGTAATTTTATGATGTTGTGAGTCGTTTATAGAATAATAGATCTTACTTTTATTTATATTTTTTTTTAAATAATACAGATGTCCAAAAAAGAATATTGAATATTAAAATTATAACATTACCCTGTGCATGATATAATGGGCATGCATGTAGCGCGTGCCCTTCAGCAGCATTTGAGCGTAAGACTTGACTCGCGGAATTGTTAATTCCTGTTGATTGTGGTGCAGCATGTCCCACAATCCTGAGCACATATACTCTAGAACTAAGACCAAACTCATGCCGCGAGGAAACATGTCGTATAATTTTATAATCTGAAATTTACACAAATTAAACATATGTACAATGGCACTGTTTCTGCCCTGACGTACTACTTATTTCAGACGTCATAGATTAATAAGGGCTAGATTTATAGTTGTTGAGACCTTATGTCCTGCAGGGCTAGCATGGGCAGGAGACAATTTTATCTCCGGGGAAAAGAGAAAATGTTTATCCCTTAGTTTTATCCACCCTTCGAGCATGGGCACACCGGTGGATACAATATCAACAGTAGATAAAGTGGTAGAATTTTGTATGAATATAAACTTAAACCCATGTCCAATGAACTAGGATAAAATTGTCCCTTTCAAATGTCAAAAAAGTATAATTTTTTATCTTTTATTTGGCTTCAGGTTACGGACGGGGGATACATAATGTCTACTCGTTATGTCATCAAACGGGGATATAGGTATTTCTCCCCGTTGCCGTGCTTTGGCATAAGAACAAAATAATTTTATCTGACACAAAATTTATATAATCGGGGGATACATTTTTTGACCCCAGCCCATGCTAGCCGTGCTGGGGCATAAAAGAGGCCCCGAATATATTTACAAATTAAACGAAAACAAATTGTTTCAATAATGCACTATACGTATTGCAATTATGACACTGCTCCACGTCGCTGGTCTTAATCATAATTATAATCATAATCAATACGTTAGGTTGATAAATTATTTAAGTCCAACATGCTTTATCATAATGATGACACAAATATTTATCTAACACTAAAAATTTCATTATTACAACTAATATACATTATTTCAAATTCATATTAATAATTTAATTACAGTTAATTTAGCTAGAATAATATAATTACAGTTAATTCATTTTAATATCGGTGCCTAATCCTAAACATAAAATTTAAATATTCTTCGACAGAGTAGAAGCATTGTTGCTCAAGCTATTGTTTGACAATCCTGCGAAAACGTGCTTTTGGGAGTTATTGAAACTCTGTGGGCAATGCATTGTAAATTTTGATACACATAGCTGAGCAACTTTTCCTATAGAGGCTAGTGCATGGCATAACACTGAGTCAGTCTTTCAGTGTACGTCAAGTTCCTCTGTACTCTATCTCTTTGTGAACAAAAGAATATTATTTTTAACAAAACATACCAAATTTATGATGTACATACATAGCAGCGTCAAAATGTATAATTTTTTAAAATACGGTTTACATAATATATCTGATGCCAAACCATGCATAGATTGAAGCTGCTTCCATATGCTTGGCAAACAAAGGCAAACAGCGAACATCAAACAACAAACACGAACGTGAGGATGGGTGTTTGCCTGTTTTTGTATGTGTTTGCCAGTTATCGGGCTCGGTGTCGGTTTTTGTGCACAAATCAAAGGGTTTTCACGACACGTTTTTTGCTGTTTGCCGTTGTTTGCCAAGCATGTGGAGGCGGCTTTACTTTACGTCTGGTGTAAATAAGATGCTCAGATACACTGCTATCGTAAGTCATTTCCTTTAATCGCCTCTTATCACACCTACTGGATGAAATGAAGTGATGGATTTTTTAATACAGTCACCGTGCACTGTAATAGTTAGATGCTATCAGGTGGCTGTTTGTCGATGTAATGTTATATAATATATTTTCCACTGTTGTATATGAGCCTCAGCTACAATTTCGAAGGTTACAATTTACATGGAACCATAGATACTAATATGGATGGTAAAATAAATAATCAGAAATAATAATATATTTTATACATGAAAGGGCGACAAACAATAACACACTTCACTTGATAGTAAATAGATGCTGTGGTCCATAAATACGTACATTTATCCTCCATTAAATGTTGAAACGTTGGGACCCTAAGAGGTAAGATGGAATGCTCGTTATCAGTAAAACGCCGGACACCGTTTTGCTCGCATAACTTGTAAAACTATTGTTACTATTTTACGCTGGCATTCTGCACGAGCGTTGTCGACGTGGCATGTAATTAATAATAAAATATCAAATAAATATTCATTGTTGTTTAGTAAAATACCATAGAAGTCTTTGTAAAAGTATATATATGGAAGTCTTTGTAGTCTTTGTCGGGTTTTTAAGAAAAAAAAAATACTAACATATTTACATCGAAGTAGCTGTAATGCTTTTATTTCCCTCATCACATTAATGGGTATGCCATCTTCAAGATTCTTTATGAGAATTTTCTTCAAGGCTACTTCTCGACAAGTGTGCAGGTGACGTGCTTTAAACACTAGACCATGAGCACCTTCTCCTATACGACCTTCAACTGCGTAACTTGTTATGTCACTATCCATAACAAAACTTAAGTCACAAATGTCTAATAAGTTATATCAAAATGCGATGAATACTCAACACAAAATGTGTATGACAATATAATTTGGATGTTTGGTTTTTGGTTAAGTTGCCATGGATACGCGCGTATAAACCAAAGACTAGATCAGTGATGGCGAGCCTATGACCCCGGGTCAGACATTGACCGACACAGGTTTTTCAAAGTACCAACGTCTTGATTTTATAAACATATTTTTTATCATAAAGAGAGAACGAACAATTAAGACACAAAAACATTAAGCGATATCTAAAATGTCAAATGTCAAATGCTTGTGGTAGAGCCACGCTATAATATGGTTTTAGCACAAATGAGTCGGCTCGACCGGAGAAGGACCGCACTCTCACAAAATACTAGCGTAAAATAGCTGCTTAATGCTGCAGTGTTTGGTATGGTCAGTGTAAAGAGACCCTTTCTACTGGAAACGAGGCATTCCATCTTATTACTCAGGTGTGACAACATCCGCATTTTGATTCTTAATTGATGTAGATGTCTATAACCACAGTATTCACTTACCATCAGGTCGACTGTGTGCTTGTGTTTCACCCATATTTTATAGAAAAAGTATAAAAAAATATTTCCAAGACACATGGACATTAGGTAGGTATCAGATCATTATGTAGCTGATTTTATTTAACTTCAACTTTATTATAAATAGACAAATGTGCCTGTAACAATATCTATACATATAATAAATCTGTAGAAAAGTCGTGTCTGTAATAATTCTAATATATTCGTGAGAAAACAAGTCCAGGGGACTAAATAAAGGTTCTGAAGCCAAAACAGTGGTTTTTAGAATTTTTGTCTGTCTGTCTGTCTGTCTTTCTGTCTGTCTGTCTGTCTGTGTATTCCGGATTCACGCAAAAACTACTGAACCGATTTACATGAAATTTTTTATGTAGGTAGTCAGTAACCCGGGGCAACTTATAGGCTACTTTTTATCCGATTACGGAACTTAAAAAAAGGAAGGTTAAGTAGATTAATTTCCTTTATATGTTAATTTTCTGTTGTATCATAGTTATAGGCGGAATGACGGGTGTTTTTCAAATAAATACCATATTACCATATTTGTAAATAAAGTTTAAAATATAGTTATAATCTTGGTAAAATAATTTGAAACTACAAGGATTTCGTATTCAAAACAGCGCCATCTATCATCAAATGAAAAAAGTTGTATATTTTGCCTTCAGTTACTAATAAATGAAATAATATAAATAACTTACATTTATATGATTAAATTATTAGATTTTTAAAATTATTAAAAAATTGTTTTGTTATTTTATTTTAAAAGTGTAATAATCTCAATAGATAATAGTGATGTCTATCAAAAATATGAAAATTGATAAGGTATTTATTTCAATTACTAATATATATGTAAAGTGATAAAAACTGGTCTGTCTGCAATTGTTGCAGAATTTTCATTATCATCATAGTTTTATTAAAGAGATTTTTATGTAAGTCGTGGCCAGATCGTAGAATTGATCATATATCATAAAGTAGTCTATCATTTCGTGAAAACACTGAAAAACGGACTGAAATGAATGTGTATTTAACACTATTTGATGACCGTGTCCGTGACTATATGACTATATAGCTTGACCAAATCAATGAATAGAAATCTTTTGAAGTTATTAGTAACTAAACACAACGTTACTATTTCATAATATGGTCATATGACGATATCATTATCGTTTTTCACCGCTAGCGGCGCTGATAGCTTATTTTTAACAGAAACAGAACTTTTAAGAGAATTGACATCACTTTATCCCTTATTGATTTGATATAATAAATAAATGTTCGTTTCTATTGCTGATATTACTAGATGGTATAGTTTTGGATTTCATTATTTCATGTAATATTAGCGCCACCTACTTACTTCTAAATAAATTAAAATGGCAAGACATTGATAAAATGAAATAATACAATGCTACTGAATATACGATGTAAATAATTGAATCATTTACATTACGTTCATCCCGCGTTGAAATCAGTGCAGCGAACTCTTTTTTGGCCAAAAACTCTACAGCCTGTGCCCAGTAGTAGCATGTATGTAAGCTGCTTTTTTACTTTTCATGGGGCAATGTATGCAGTTTCTATTTCATTCGTGTTTTCGGGTATGATAATTTATGTTTTCACTCTATCGTAAATATTAAGGCTTGCAAAGATAAGTAGAACTCATTATCGTCAGCTTATCAAAAGTCCAAAGTCCACTGTAATGAACATTGGCCTCCCCCATAAATTGTCAAGTAGCTGGATATTTGCTATAGTGGCGGGTTGGCAACCGCAGCTATTATTATTTTGATCTGTTGTCAAGAAGATGATGCAGATCATCCCATCTACTGTTTTTTTCCTATGTCGCCTCTTACGACGGGACGATATGATGTGTTGGATTTTCTTTCACCGCCACAACAGTGCGAACATTTTTCTACTCCCGTTCATGAGTGTAGTGTTCCTCACGTTCACTGTGTATAAAATTTATAAGGAATAAAAGTAATTTTAAGGATTTTATTCGCGTTTAATTTTAACTTTTTAAATTTCCGATGGTTTGGGCAATTTATAGCACCCATGGTCACGGGAGGGGTGGGAGAACTGAGGTGTTTGACGACCTGATGTCATAGTTAAAATAGAATAGTTAAAATGCAGTAGTAGTTTGAATTTAATTTTATTAATCATGGAGTCCTTAGCAGATAGTAGCACTCAGCCATCTTCCCTATTAAAATTAGGATATTTTTAATTTCAATAGCCTCGTGAATCATCATTGGTAGGATTCGGTGTTCTATTGCAAGAATTTGTTGTATATAATGGTTGGGACGATACTAAACATGTTTACATACTTTAGACTTCCCGGTGCTTCGGTGCTTTCATTCGGTGAGGGTCAAGATGCGTAAAAAACCCGTAACATTAGTTTTAATCCATGTGTGGTATTCATTATTATAGAACTGTATTTATGAAATTTTCAAGTCTACTCGAAGTAAATAAAAATATCTATATCTTTTTATGGTGCCAATCAATATTAAATAGGACCAATGATATGAATAAAATGTCTTTTTTTTTTATAGGAGAGGGGGCAAACGAGCATGCGGCTCACCTGATGGTAAGTGACTACCGCCGCCCATGAACAACTGCAACACCAGGGAGGGAATTGCAAATGCATTGCTGGCCTTTTAAAAAGGAGTACGCTCTTTTCAATGTCTCAAATAAACATTATATTACTTTGTTAAAACTAAATTTACTTTAACTATGAATATATATATGTAAAGAGTAAAATGTAAGTAATAATAATACATTTTGATAACAAGACTATTTACCTTTCTTATGGATACATCGGAATCGGAAGACACGCCATATATAAAAAATAGTAGGAGTTTCTAGACATCTAATAGTATTTTAGAATGAAAAAAATCTCTGACAGACACAGAGACATAGACACCAAGGTGACTCTAAAAGTGATCGAATATTTCTAAATTTGACACGGAACAGCATTTAATGATGTCCCTAAATTCAAGCGCACACGAGCGAAGCCGCGGGTAAAAAGCTAGTTAATTAATATTTCTTATAAGTTATTTTTTTTATTCCTCGTTCATTCAGATACTCAGTGCAAGGGCGACTACGGACTGTGGATGGTATTAAGTTCCCCATTTATATCATTTTCCACGACGACCATTATTTTTTGCTCTTCACTTGTAACTGTAAAATTTTTAAAGAAATAGAAAGAGGAAACAAACTTTTTAAAGAATTTGAGAACCAAAAAAACCTAATTTTTAACCATCCTCTCTGCTCTTCCAAATGACGCTACTAACTTAGTGAGTCATGAGCTAATACTAAGATTGATCAAAAGGAGCAAAAAAAATTGACAAAATTTTACCCAGATCTCAAAAAGGTTAAGAGGTGCGCAACAGCATATTTCTGATTTAAAATTGATAATAATAAAAAACATGCGTGAGTGTCATGGAACACTTGGAACGAAGTTAAGTCACGTGGTAGAGCCATGCTACAGCTATATTAGTAGTATAGTTGTAGCACGAATGGGTCGGCTCGACCGGGGAAGGACCACGCTCTCACAGAAAACCAGCGTAAAATAGCAGCTTAACGCTACTGTGTTTCGTATGGTGAGTGTAGAAAAGAAAGCTGGAAAAGAAGCATTCCATCTTGGTCCCCACGGGTGGCGACGCATCTGCATTTTGATTCTTCATTGAGGATAAATGTGGATGTCTATGGGTCACAGCAGCCACTTACCATCAGGTGGACTGTGTGCTCGTTTGTTACCCTGCAATTTAACAGTTGCAAAATAATTAACACCCTTAACAGATGGAAGGGAATGAAAAATGTGATAAGAGAGTGAAGGCTAAGTAGGAGTAATCAAATAGACGATTTTTTTTCACTTAAAAACTTCCTCGCGCGCCCCTTTTTAACCCTAGGGGCGCAACCCTAGGCACGTACCTAGTTTGCCTGTTGGATAATCCGCCACTGCAGGCGAGTTGGCAACCGCAGTTTTTTATTTTTATTCATCTGTTATCAGGAAGATATTGCTGCCCATCTTTTGCATTAGTTTACCTCTGTCGCCTCTTACAGCACCCATGGGCGATATGGGGTAGTGGGTATTCTTACACCGTCACTAGACGGCTAAGTGTCAGATTATATAATATTTATTTCTCATTTTTATGCTGCTTTTTAATAGTGTTTAACCTTGTTTCGATTCTCTGTAACGTTAATAATATTAATATGATATTTAAACAGCTGCGTACACATTACGTTGTCGATATGCAGCCAGCTTTCCAATGATCATTTTTAGAAGTGCGGCCACGTTGAGTGTACCTGTCCAAAAATTATCAACATGTGGTTGAGAACGGTGTTTGTGGTACTTTTTTTCTATTTGTATCAAACTGCAAATTGTGCAACCATACTGGCACTGTTTTCATCTTTATCTTTTACGGATCATTTTGTGTACAGAGGTTACATTTCGCT